GCCATGTTCCCGACATGATGATAATGAATTAACCTCTGAAACTGTAAGTCAGCCCCAATGAAATGTGTTCCTTTATAGAAGTTGCCTTGCTCATGGTGTCTCTTCACCCAAAGTCTTTTTGGTTGGAGGGGTTTTGTTTTGTTTTTCCAAGACAGGGTTTCTTGTGTAGCTCTGGCCATCGAGAGCTGGAACTCAGTCTGTAAACCAAGCTGGCCTCAAACTCAGAGTGCTGGGATTAAAGATGTTCACACCACCACCCAAAGTCTTACAGTTTTCAGTCAAGGTCATTTTTGGTCCTGTCTGTTTTAAACTGGAACAAATGTATGCTGACTCTTATCCACTCCTGTAGCAACACAGGAAGTGGTCTCACTGTTTCCAAACAACCTCGGTGCTCACCCATCCCCCCCCCAACCCCCAACCCTTGGCAGCCCCTGATCTGCTTAGGCTGCTTGCTGTGTATTCATCTTTCCTGGAATGTTACAAAATAAGAACAGCACTGGTAGCCCTTTCAACGCTGCTTCTTTGACTTATTGAGAATGTGTTACAGTCTGCCTTGACTTCAGGATAGATTATGTGAGCATCTTTTCTCATGCTTCTTTGATATCTCTATTAAAGCCCACTGTGTTGTTTATTTCCTTCTTTTTCTCCTTTTTATGTACAAATTTGACCAATGGAAATATTAAGTTTTCACAGACCCAAATGTTTACTAAGCCCTTTGTGTTATATCTGCCATTTGTCTGGACTTCTTTGTGATGCTGTACTATTCTGTAGTTACTCCAAATAACTCTACCTTGTTCCTCAACCACAGACTGCTAAGTGTTTTAGCTTGTGGTCTGGACACTTGGAAGAGGCATAGCTAGAGACAAGCTGATGTTTCATTGTGATATTTCTAGCTGATAGAAATTTGAGACTTCTTAGTACCTAACATGTATTATCCATAAGAAAGAAAAAGACAGAGAAACTTAAACCTGGTTAAGGCAAAGAGGAGTGACTGCTATTTCAATAGAAGAGTACCCTTATTTTTTCATTCTTGGTTTTCTAAGATTGTGGAGCCAGCTTGGAACTTGCTAGGTAAACCAGACTAACCTCAAGCTGACAGCAATCCTCCAGTCTTGTCTCCAGAGTGACCCTCTGCCCTCACCCCCCCTTTCTCTCTCTCTCTCTCTCTCTCTCTCTCTCTCTCTCTCTCTCTCTCTCTCTCTCTCTGGGATTTTTCTAGCACAATCCTGGTGGCATGGCCTGTTATGGCTGACAGTATTTTATGAATTAACATTTGATACTGTTTTCTAACATTGAAACAATATATTATAGAAAAACTAAAGATATAGACAAATGTTACAAAATAAATAACTTCGTTGCAAAGTAACTTGTCACCAATCCTACCACTCAGACAGCCACTGCTAATAAATATAGTAATATGTAAAAAGAACATGCTAGATCTATAATCTATTTTCACTTAACCTTGTATTAGCATTTATGTCACTGATAAGGAATAAAAAACAACTTTAAAATAGTTACAATAACTTGTATGGAGTTACTAAAATAGTTATCTCTCTGTACTCACACTCTTGGTTTTTATGAATAATGCATATTCTTCACTCTCCTTACTTCCTCCACCCCCCAGGGTGTTTATAGACACTCTTAACTAGTCAGTGTGCCACATCAAACATCACTGTTTTTATGAGCAGATGAGGGGATCCTCCCAAAATACCCTCAGGAGGGCTTATCAGTTTATGTCTCTCTCAGTAGGACCAAACTGCCTCTCATGTAATCTTGGCCAGCCTTGTATCTGATTGTGTTTTGGTATTACTTGGTAGAATTTAAAGGTATGTCCATAGGAAGCTAAATGAGACATTTAGAGTTTTCTGTCTCACAATTTAGCTTCTAAATATAAAGGAAATGCCACCCTGTGAGAAGCACCAGTTCCTCCTCATGTCACCTCCCCAGCCTCTCTGCTACCTCTGCCTACCTTGTACTGGAGCTGTGACTCAGTTAGGGCACTTACTTATGCTGGAGTCCCTGCATTAAATTCCCAGGACCACCTAACAAATCCATAAAATATTTTGCTTTTATCTCCTTTACTGAAGATGCTGGCCCTCTTCTTACCTGAGGTAAATTCTGTATATATGCTGGACGTCTCTTTGTGTCGCTTCAAAAACCCCAGGCTTCTGCTCCTGCATTATTGATTTCGAATTTCCCCCTGTGCCTTTCTCACCAACCTAAGACGTGTCTTAATAAGGAAGACCCAGAGGTGTCCTCTGCCCCTCACTCCCAACCAACTCCTGTTCCATCTCCTCCCAGTCACAGCCAAGCAGGAAAGAGTGTTTTCCTACCGATGGGAAGGGTTGTTTATAATGTGATTTTCTCAGCCCAGGACAACCATTGGTTCCTTTAAAGTACAATTTTCAAAAAAATTAAAAACTTGACTGCTCGAATAGAAAATAAAGCGGCGTCAAGACTCATTCACCTGCTAGTTGATTAATGGCACCATAAGCTCTTCAGTCCAGTTCAGAAGAGAACTGGAAGACCAAGCAAATGAAAGGAGTTGAGTATGTGCAGAGCAGCTCACTGGTAGCTATGAGATACCAGTGAACTTTGCTCTCCGGTCATCTGCTGCCTTCACTTCCTCTATTCGACTTGTAGCCTGCAGGATGCCCAGACTATCAACTGTTCAGCTGTAGTTCAGGCCTCCGTCGTCTTCCTGGAAGGCAATCACTATAATACAGAAGGATCAATCTTTCTACCAAGTGAAAACCAATAGTATCATTGTAAGACATTTTCTTTTGTCTATAGACAAGAATTGCTTATGTAGCTACATGTTATGGCTAGATTTCCTACAAAGTTGTAAACTAGCCTAACCAATGGTGAGTTATGCAAAAAGATATGTCCTAGAGAACCCAATAATCCCTGAGAGTCCTCTGGGTAACACCCAACATGCCACTAAAATCGTATCCAGTTATTTTGGCTCGGATAGTTTTTCTTAACAGTCCCCACTGTAGCCAACGGTCCCTACTGTAGCTGTGACATTTTTTATAAAGCCAGTGGCCTTCCTCATTTAAATTGGCCTCCTGACAAGATAGGAAAAGGTGAGTATTCCTGAAAGGCTCCTTCAAGTCTTGGCACATCACATCTACCCAGTCCACTTTGCTCTCTGGTTTTCTGCTGGCTTCACTTCCTCTAATCTACTTGTAAACAGCAGGATGCCCAGACTGGCTACAGTTCAGCTACAGTTCAGGCCTCCATCATCTCCTCCCTGGACTACTCCAGAAGGCTTTCACTGGCCCAGTGATCTTGCCTCTCCTGAGTATCTGCCTGGCCCAGCACTAGTCAAACTGGTCTTTCTGTACTTTGAGTAGAACGAATTGTTTCCAGGCCTTTGATCTAGCTGATACCACCACCACCACCACCCATGGGGGGCTGGGGAGTAGGGTGGGGTTCTATGTCTTTCAGTTCTCTATAAATGTCACCTCAGAGATGACTCCCTGACAACCTAGCTAAGTAGCCCATGCTCCCAGTTTCTTTCCCTTTTTTGTTTTCCTCATGGCTCCAACAGTGAAACCCTATTTTTGTTTTTCCTAGCAGTTCCCACTGTACCAACTGATCCCACTGTAGATGTGACATTTTTTATAAAGCCAGCGACCTTCTTCCCTGATTTTAATTGGCCTTCTGACAGGGTTGGGAACAGTGAGTGGTCCTTCATGCTTCCTCGAGTCTTGGCACACCACATCTACCCAGTTCTTTATGCTTTCTGGACTTCAAGTTTCCTGAAGGTGGAAATTGGGTGCTAAGACTGTGCTCTCTAAATATTTGTTTGCTGACTTAAAAACATGTTGGCATCCCAGTAATGCCCACATCCTGTGGTTTTCTAGAAAGCGAAGAGCCTTCATAGGAATGCAAACCGCTGACTGGATCTTGAAGGCCCATGAAGCACTGTCCTCTTCTTCTGTGGTCAGGCTGAAGTGCCGTTACTTCCTCTTCCCTGGATTCTTTCTCTGTGTTTCCAACAGCACACCAAATGAGGGGAAAGATGAGAGATAGTAGGAACTTCGCTTTGGAGCCTCAGTTAGCCTGGCTGTAGTATTTCTGACCCCAGCATAAGGCTGAAGTTAAAAGTTGTATTTTGATCAAAGTATTTGGCATAGCCAGGGATTCTAGAGTCTGAAGATGCAATTGAGATTTTTAGTCCTTGTTTTATGTCTTGTTTCTGTTTATCTGTGTTCTTTATTTGGGGAGGTATGCTACCACGCCCAGGTGTCTTTCCTTTAGGAGAATTCTAGAAGACAAGGAAGGAGCTGGCTTCCTTAGCATAGCGGATGAGGAGAGGTGACCATGTCTTAGGAACAGAATCACTTAGTATCAGAAGTACGTTTCTGAATAGGAGAATCTGGAGATCTGGAAGTCCTTGGGGCTCTCACCGTTAGGGTATAGTGTTATGTGAACTTGACTGTTGAGGCTAGTTTGTTGACTGTTTTGTTTTAGTTGTCTTGAGCTAGGAGCTAAGTTCCAGTACATAACTTGAATTATTGGGTGACCAGGGAAAGAAGGTATTATCTGTTTTGATTGACAGGGCCAAGCAAACAAAAAACTGATTGAACTGCACACTCTGCTCTCTTGATGTAATTCATAGTTAAGAAAGAATAAGAAAGGGGACAGGGCCTACCTACACTGTGGTGCCACTGCAAAAGATCATTCTCACACATCTGACTTATGGGGCCAATAACGTTCGATATAAAACAAGAGCTTTAGGAGAAATCAGCATGGCATTGCTAATACACAACAGTGTCTATAAAGATCTATTATGGCCGGGCGGTGGTGGCGCACGCCTTTAATCCCAGCACTTGGGAGGCAGAGGCTGGCGGATTTCTGAGTTCGAGAGTTCGAGGCTAGCCTAGTCTTCTACAGAGTGAGTTCCAGGACAGCCAGGGCTACACAGAAAAACCCTGTCTCGGGGGAAAAAAAAAGATTTATTATGAATAACTTCTCTTTTTCCCCTATTCTAGCTAAGAAAAGTGACCATGGAGAACAACAAAACCTCGGTGGATTCAAAATCCTTTAATAATTTTGAAGTGTGAGTATTTATTTATTTTTATTTGTTATTGTTTAAGGCGGGTTCTCCACCCACCCCAGGCTAACCTAGAGCCCTGTAGTCCAGGCTGGCTTCAAACTTGTGATGGTCCTCTGATTCCTGTTTTCTAACTGCTAGAAAAATAGGCAAGAATTACGGTGCCTGGTGAGATTGGTATAAATATAATTCTGTATAGTCAAAGAAAGATGGATTTGCACAACACAGCTCACCCTGAGGGAAGCCGAGGGAATATGGGCTTTCAAACCAGAGAGACCAGGCTACCTCTTGCCCCAACAGCTGTGCAGCTTTATGTAAACTCACATCTCTGAATCTTATCTTGAGGCAGGGAGGTTGGTTAGGTCCTATATTAAGTGCCCTTGTATTCCTGGTTTGGGATTCTCTGTTCTTTACTAACATATATCCTGTCTTGGTCTAATGCTGGCTCGTAAAGGAGGCAACAGAGGATGGTGAAGAATCAGCTTTAGGCAATGGCAGTTACAGTTTAATTACAAGTGGTCACAAGTAACAAGGGTTACAAGTCTTTAATCCCTTATCCGAAATGACTAGAACCTAGGATATTTTAGACTTTGGACTCTCAGATTGGAATATATTCACATATATATATAACAAAAATGTATTAGAACTGGTACCCAAGCCGTGTGTGTGTGTGTGTGTGTGTGTGTGTGTGTGTGTGCGCGCGTGAATGCGTGTGCGCGTGTGTACAGGTGTGCATGTATTGCAGCGCACGTGTGGAGGATATGCAGAGTACCTGCAGAGTCGAGCTCTGGCCTAGTCTCCTGTGTCCGCCTCCCATCTTATAAATACAGCTGTGTGTCACCCCTTAGAGCAGCGGCTCTCAACCCTCCTGATAATGCAGCCCTTTAATACAGCTCCTCAGGTTGTGGTGAACCCCACCCCCAACCTAAAATTATCTTCGTTGCTACTACATAACTGTAATTTTGCTGCTGTTATGAATTGTAATATAAATATTTGATGTACAGGATATCTGCTGATATATGACCCCTATGAAAAGGGTCATTTGACTTCCAAGGGACTCACAACCCACAACTTGAAAACCTCTCTGACTGAGAACTTTTTATATAGTTTCCAGGGTTGAACTCGGAGCTGTTAGGACTGCCTAGAAAGCGCCATTACCTTCTGAGTTGTCTCTCTGGCCTATAAATTCTAAATACTATGAATTCATTGCTGTTTCAAATAAATTTTATACATGCATGTCAAAGCTAATATTGTTTAATATTTTTAGTGTGCCTGCGTTTTGAAAGTGATCCATTACATGGGGCTTGGTGTGGAATTTTCCACTTGTGGCATTGTGCTGACTTTCAAAACCTTGGCCATTTTTGGAGCATTTCCAATTGTAGATTTCTGGACTAAGAATGTACAGCCTGTGCAACCTAATTTTCTCTGTAAAATGTGGGGCCTTTACCTCCAACTAAATATAATGGTTCTTTTTTGTCTGCCTTTGACTCCTTCATTTACTGCTTTTCCTCTATCATTATCTTTAGAACTGTGTAAAATGTAAGCTAGTCTTACGGCTGAGTATGTGTCCTTCCCAGTGTTGATGTTTGGCTGTTCCTAGATCCTGGGTCAGGCTTGTGCTCAGTCTCTGTCCCATTTGTTGGAATGCAGCCACACTTTTATAAGCCTATTGCCCTTGGCTAGTTTCACCCATCCAAATTGAGGCTGTAGTAGAGGATAGCCTGTGAGCCTATCTAGACTTTGAAGAAAATTATTACTGACCTCTGATCTACCTAGCTAACATTTTTATATAAGTGACCCAAGTATTTTCAAGGATTTATGATGGTTTAGCTGTGTATTAACAAGTTATTCGATGGTTTAGCTCATAAAGTTTAAGGACTGATTTGCGGGGGAGGGGGAGTTCTTAGATAAGTGGACTGCCCAGGGCTAGCCTAGGCTACCCTCATCTGTTAAATGGGTTGTTGTGAGTATATTTATGTTTTTTTTTTTCCACCTTGGTGATTGGGATCAAACCCACATGCTGTGAAATTTGAATGAAGGAAGGACGTGACATGAAGCTGATACATTGATAACCTTATTAAACAGATGTTAACTGTTCTGATGAGTCATAAAAGTTGTATTAACAAAAATTCTCATTTCTACCTTTGTAACCATCATTTGATTTCCACGCAGAAAGACCATACATGGCAGCAAGTCAATGGACTCTGGAATCTACCTGGACAGTAGTTACAAAATGGATTATCCTGAAATGGGCTTATGTGTAATAATTAATAATAAGAATTTCCATAAAAGCACTGGTATGTATCTAACATAATTTTTTAAACATTTCAAATATTGATGCCACTGACATAGACTGTAATATGACAAGCAAGATCCATGGTGACTAATTATGAGTCAGTAAACTGATGCAGAAAATCGGCAAAGTAGAGATGCCCTGGAACCTTACAGGTCCCATATTCCATATGAACTCTTCTTCCATGTTGGACATCTCTGCCTCTCCTGTGACTTCAGAAGGTTGGATTCTGCTGCTGCAGCCCAACAGAGCCAGTCCCTTGAGGCCGAGTGATGGGAGAAGAAAAGGTTTCATAAGCAGCAATCTGGCAGGGATGAAGATGAATGACTGGCACCTGAGGTCGTCTGCCCTGGGGCAGCTTAGAAAGTGGCTCTAGTGGCCTCAGGTCTTTAACTCACAGCCTCAGGCAAGCAGGCCCCAAGGTCATTCCTGAGCCAGTTACAGAGAATAAATTAGGACCTCTTATCTCAGGTGACTGACCTGGCCCCACCCAATGCCATGTTTCCCATTTTCAGCTCTTATGTGTCCGGCTTCAGGCAAAGTGTGTTTACAACTACTGTTTAATTGAGGCCTTCACCCCAACCTGAGAATGAATGCACCTTGAAAGCAATGGTGTTTAAGCTAACTTTATAGTAGTGTTAGGATATGACTCAGGGCTTGTACTGTAGATCTACCACACTCCAGTGGAAGGCTACATATCCAGCAGTAGATGGGCAGCAGGAAGTGGACTTGGTAGGTTTTGTTGTTGTTGTTGTTGTTTTGATGTTTTGTTTTGGTATTGTGTCTTTTTTTTCCCCTGAGACAGTTTCTCTTGTGTAGTCCTGGCTGTCCAGGAATTCACTCTGTAGTCCAGGCTGTCCTTGAACTCCGAGATCTACTTGCCTTGGCCTCTGCATGCTAGGATTAAAAGTCTGTGCCACCACTACCTGGCTTTCCTTCTTTTAAAACCAAGTTTCTCTCATGCTAAGCGTGCAGTATACCAAGAGCAGGAGCCTAAGCTCATTTGTGCTCAGCATCCTCATGTGTACAAATGAAGCTGGTGATAAGCATCTTGTGATGGTTGGAAAGACAGACTATTACAATAATATTAGTATTGATAATAATAATAATTAGTATTGCTATGCAATACTAATCTGATAATAGTTGTGGATTTCTTTTCCTTGTACAATGTACAAGCAGTACTATGTCTTACAACTGATTCAACGTTGGACAAATAGCATGTCTCTGAGCAAGCTATATAAGCCAAACTTAGATCACATACTTTTTTCTAATCTTGTAAAATTATTTAGTAGATATTATCATGTTACATGAAACAAATCAGCAAAGTTTTGAAAAACAATGTACTGGGCATGGTGGCCCATGCTTGTAATCCCAGCACTTGGGAGGATTATTGTGAGTTCAAGACCAGGTTGAGCTACAGTGTGAAACTAAGCCTATGAATGAATGAATGAATGAATGAATGAGAAAGCAACATAGTGCTCTATCATATAAACGAATCACAGTTAATCAAACAAACCTCTATTGCCAGGCCTCTGCCGTCCCCTCTTATTTTCAATGTTCACGCTGCTGTGGAGGATGTCCCTGTCATGACAGCTTGCAGCAGCTAATACAATGAGATGTCTTGTGTGCTAACAGAGTATAGACTATCACCATGATCAAAATAAGAAGGTCAGCATTTAAAAGGAAGAGTTTATTGGCTGTGTGAATGGCTGCATAGTTCATTTATTCTCAAAGCAGTTATTCTTGTAAAATGCAATTAAGAGCTCTTTCTGTCCCAAGGAATGACATCTCGCTCTGGTACGGATGTGGATGCAGCCAACCTCAGAGAGACATTCATGGGCCTGAAATATGAAGTCAGGAATAAAAATGATCTTACTCGTGAAGAAATTATGGAACTGATGGATAGTGGTAAGACATAACCAGCTATAAGCATGACCTTCGGAAGCTTCTGTGGGCAATGGACAGCAACTCCCAGCTGGTCAAAGAACAGAGATTAAGTGTCTGCAGAGCTCAGTCAGAGTTGGACACCTAGACCAACTCACACCTAAACCCAAGGCTCAGGCACTACTGCCACGCCGGGCAGAGAGAGTGTAAGAGCAAGACAGCATTGCTGCAGTCAGGAACTCCCAGCTGTCCTCACTCTTACATGTGGGAACCCCGGGGAGCTAGTGACAGCTGACTGCTGCTGGAGGAGGGAGAGCCCCCTTTATTTAAGGGTGTGGTCCCTGATTGGTTGACCATGCTGCAGTGGCTGGACCAACTCCTGTCTATATATGGCCAGCACAAATTGGACCCTGTGTTATTTTTTTTTAAAAAAAGGGGAGGGGGACATAAAGTTGTGAGGAGTGGGAGATATGTATGTGTGACTGTGATCAAAATTGCATGTGTGGAATTCTCTAAGAGTGACCTTTATTGGGTAATTTTATTTTATGGTCTAGCTATAATTATAGAGATAGTGAAGTATAAAAATTATAGAATTATACTTTACATTATTCTGACTGGGTGTTTTTTTTTGGGGGGGGGAGTTTGTTTTTTGTTTTGTTTTTGAGATACAGTCTCACTATTTAGACAGGCTAGCCTCCAGCTTACAAAGATCCATCTGCCTCTGCTCCCTGAGTGGTGGGACTAAAGGTGTGTGCTACCATACCCAGCTGCTTATATATTCTAGTAAAAAGTATAAAAAAGAAAAAAGAAATAAAAGTTAATCAAGCCATTCCCTAAAAATGGCTCCAAATGTACTCTGCCTATATTAGACTTGGACACTCTTGAAATTCTATTCTCAGCTTCTTCATCTTGTGGTCATGATATAAACCAGGGACCCCAGAACTCAGAAAGCTAAGACCATGAAGTCAAAGCCATTGTAGTCCAATGAGAAAGCTGGATACACATCAGACAGCCACGGGTTCTTTACTGTATTCATATACAGTGCAAAGCTGGCGAGTGCCTGCCTGTCTCTGTTCTGTTTTATATTGTTTCTGGATGTCTTTCCAGTTTCTAAGGAAGATCATAGCAAAAGGAGCAGCTTTGTCTGTGTGATTCTAAGCCATGGTGACGAAGGAGTAATTTTTGGAACAAATGGGCCTGTTGACCTGAAAAAATTAACTAGTTTCTTCAGAGGTGACTACTGCCGGAGTCTGACTGGAAAGCCGAAACTCTTCATCATTCAGGTAACACATTGCTGAGCAGGTTGGTGCTCAGTTAAAGAGATTAACTTACTTAAATGTCAGTATTTACTTTTGGTTCGGGGGGGCTACAGAACTGTTATTTTTATTTATTTAAACAGCCATTTAGGGAATCCGGAGTACATTGCAGTGTGTGTCTCCGTCAGGGTCTGTATTCCTGCACAGACATCACGACCAAGAAGCAAGTGGGGAGGAAAGGGTTTATTCAGCTTACACTTCCACATTGCTGTTCATCACCAAAGGAAGTCAGGACAGGGACTCACACAGGACAGGAACTTAGAGGCAGGAGCTGATGCAGAGGCCATGAATGGGTGCTGCTTACTGGCTTGCTTAGTTTGCTTTCTTCTAGAATCCAGGACTACCAGTCCAGGGATGGCACCATACACAATGGGCCCTTCCACCCTTGATCACTAATTGAGAAAATGCCTTACAGCTGGATCTCATGGAGGCATTTTCTCAAGGGAGTCTCCTTTCTCTGTGATAACTCTAGCTTGTGTCAAGTTGACACACAAAACCAAACAGTACAGTATTGCTCTTATCTCAGAAAAACTCCCTAGTTCTTAGACTGCTCTTTGTTTTATAAGAAGTGTACCTCTTCTGACACACAGGCCTGCCGGGGTACGGAGCTGGACTGTGGCATTGAGACAGACAGTGGAACTGACGAGGATATGGCATGCCAGAAGATACCAGTGGAGGCCGACTTCCTGTATGCTTACTCTACAGCACCCGGTGAGAAACCATCAAGGGATGTTTTGTGTGGGTTTTAGATGAAGTATATTGTGACATATTATAAAGCTGACCAGTGAAGACTGTTCTAAAGGCTAGTATGATGTTTATATATCCTTCACAAAGGTACCCTTACATCCCTAAAATAACTAACCTGCCATCTTAGTTACTTTTCTATTGTGATAGAACATCATGACCAAGGCAACTTACAAAAGAAAATCTTTAATTTGCAGCCGTGATTGCAGAGGGTTAGAGTCCATGGACCACTGTGGTAGGAAACGGGTGGGGTGGGGTCAGGCATGGCAGTAGACAGGCAGGCTTATATCTCCATCCACAAGCACAGCACAAGGTAGAGAGAGCTAACTGGAGTTGATGTTGGCTTTTGAGTCCTCCACGTCCATCTGACACACCACTTTCATCAAGGCCACACCTCCTAATCCTTCCCAAAAAGCTCCACCAACTCAGGACCCAGCATTCAAACATAGGAGCCTATGGGTGCCATTGTCATACACACCACCACCACATACACACACACACACACACACACTCACACACACTCACACACACAAGGCGTTCAGTTTGTGGTATGGACCTGTATGTGGATAGAGAAAACCTGACTCTCACAGTTGTCTTTTGACATACACACAATAAGTAGATAGATAGATAGATAGATAGATAGATAGATAGATAGATAGATTGACAGATAGACAAATCTATTAAAAATTAAGATACATTCACTTGTTTGTTTTATCCAATAGGTATCTTTCCAAACAGTGTTCTTCTAAGCTAAACACAATGAATCCAGTAGTTAATCTGAAAATAAACACAAAAACATTAGTTTTTTCTTTTTGGGCCTTTTGAATACTATTTATTATATTCATCCAGATGCCCCAAAGGCAAGCTAATGTCATATTTTACAATGTACATCTATAAGGGGCAAGTAGACAGCTTAATAGTTAAGAACACTTGATACTTAAGCAGGGGACCTGGCTTTGGGTGCTCACATCCGCATGGTAGTTCACAACCACTGTTCACTTTGGTTCCAGGAGTTCTGACTCCCTCTTCTGATCTGTGTGGGCATAGGACACTACACTTACACACATGCAGGCAAAGAGATCAGACGCATAAAATAAATAAGAAACATTTTTAAAGTGTATGTATGTAAACAGTTTATTTCCTGTCTAGACCAGTATTCACATCAGATGGGTTCTGATTGAAGCACCATGTTACCTACACAGTCCTATTTGGATAGCTTTGCTTTGGTATCTTCATATCTTCCTCTTCCTCATCCTGACCTGTTCCATCCTATGGGAAAGAGACCAGAAACTAGGAAGTCAGTGGCAGTCAGTCCTGGACTGCTTTTTCTTTCCCAGCTGAGAGCAGTGAGCTCTGGGGACCAAAGGTGTTAATTCTTTTGCCTTTGTATGGCTTATGAGATGATCAATATGGTTATATAAAAACGCATAGACTCCTCCAAAGCGATGCTGTGATGTAATGGCAGCTATGGTCCTGCGTCTTTTGCCTTGTAGGTTACTATTCCTGGAGAAATTCAAAGGACGGGTCGTGGTTCATCCAGTCACTGTGCGCCATGCTGAAGCAGTACGCACACAAGCTTGAGTTTATGCACATTCTCACCCGTGTTAACCGGAAGGTGGCAACGGAGTTTGAGTCCTTCTCCCTGGACTCCACTTTCCACGCTAAGAAACAGATCCCGTGTATTGTGTCTATGCTTACCAAAGAACTGTACTTTTATCACTAAAGAAATGATTGGGGGTGGAGTGGGGGCGTGTGTCTGGTTTTTTGTTGTTGTTGTTTTGAATGCCAAATGAGAAGACTGTCAGGGAGACTTTATTTCCCTCTCATTTGAATCAAATCTGATGTTCCAGCTGGTCTCTGCTGATACCACTGCCTAGCAACGCAGCCACAATTCGCTACCTCAGCTTCAACATCAGGTAGTTGAAAGGAAATTGAATTAGGAACAAATAAATGTCAGTAATGGTACTATCACCATAGAAGAAATTACTAGACTACCCTTTTATAATTAGCAAGATTTGGCCATACTGTGAATTTTGAAGTAATTATGAAGCAGTAAAGCTTTGCAGTGATGGTTTTATACTCCCTACTCATGTTAAGAATGTTATTCTAGTGTTCTTTACACATACACACAATAATGTCAAATGATATGTCTTAGAACTTGTATCCATGAGAAGAGACAAGGGCTCAAACCCTTGTTTTGGAACTAGTTTATGGAAATGAAGAGTGGGACCACCATAGCATATTATATCTACTGGTTTTGTGACAGTTGTCCAGGGCATGTATTTGTTTTTTGTTTTTTAAAAAAATCGTGTTTTATTATTTGAATGAAAATAACTTGAGTATTTATGTGAGAGGAAAACCATGTGCGAACTTGGTTGACTCTTTGAAAGCAATCATCCATCAGTAGCAGACATGATGGCAAGGTGCTAAGATCCACCAGCATTTGTTTCTTACTTATTCTTATACAAATCAGCTTAGTTTTACAGATCAGCAAAATATCTAAAAGAACGGTTATGTGGTTCTGTAACAGCCTCAAATTGTTGATTATTAGAATGAAATAAAGGAATTCTGTAAGAACACTCCGTAATACCAGTTGTCAAACAGAGCGAAAGGAAAGGAGAGATGAAATCTCCTGTAATTGGAGAGAAGATGGTTTGAGCCAGAGCAGAGTCATGGCAGAGCCAACTGGACCCACCTTGCGAGTACTGGTTTGTGTGGATGATGTCCCCAAAGTCCAAGTTCCCACGTGAGAAAGTGAACCAGATCAGAAATTTCTGCAAAAAGGCTTTTCCAGAGTGCTGAGAGTCTCAAGAAAGTTCACTGAACTCCATGTACAGAGTGTGTAGCATGCTGACTTTTCTGTTGAAGTTTACAATGAAAGGAAAATAATGGTGATATTTGTATCGTCACTAGAAGTGACAGAGCCATGGCACACAAGCGGCAGGCCCTGCAGCCCAGGGAGAAGCTGCAGACTGGAGTCCAGTCAGGGGGACTGCTCCGGGCTTCCTTATCATGGAGGTGCTGAGTCATTGCTGGCTCTCCTGAGGTGTCCAGCATTTTCCACAAGCTTCCTTTTTGCACAAAGAAAGGAAGGAACTCACATTATAACTGATAGATTCTTGTTTAGACTGAATTTATTGTTAACTCTTTGTAAGTAAACACAGCATGTATTTTAAAGTGTGTTCCCATGTGGCAATTTTATAAAAGTTTGTTATCTTGCATTTTTATTTCAAAACATAAATTCAGATTTAAAGTTATCAGTGTATTTGAGAGGCTTTTGTTGTTTTGTTGTTGTCGTCGACACTTTTGATGTTGTAGTAACTAAGTGGAAGTTAGATAATTTTAACCCAGAGTTTAATTTGGGAGAGTCAACGAGGATACAGCAGGGCTTAATCTAGTATTTCGAGGTGTTAGCAAGTGGAAAACCTCTGAGGAGATGGATATGATTTAAACCCAGAGAAAGAATATAGGAAGGGGTGAGGACGCATCTCTTCCAATGTTTACATAATAACCATAGCTTCTGTAAATTCAAGCTCTAAAGTGGATCATGGAACCCCATACCCAAGGAAGAGAGTGGCATGAATGTTTTTATCCAGGCTTTATTTAACCTTGGGGGAGGGGTGGTGGAGAGATGGCTCAGTGGTTAAGAGCATTGGTTGTTCTTCTAGAAGACCTGGATTTGAAACAAAGCACCTACATGGCAGCTCACAATTTTCTGTAACTAGCTCCGGGGGGGGTCCAACTGCCTCTTTTTGCCTCCTTGGGTATTTATTTTACGCACATGGTGCACAGGCATGCACACAGGCTAAACACCCATACCCATGAAATTAAACCTTTAAAAAACTGGAGCTCTTTAATGTTCGGAGAAAAGGCTAGCCCATTTTAATTTCCATACTATCTATATAGAGAGGTATTACAAAGAAAACGATTGGGGCGTTGGGAGTGGGCAGGAGTAGTTAGCTGGGTAAAGCGATTTCCTTGCAAGCACAAGAACCTGAACTTGATCCCCAGAATCCATGTTACAAAACAACAACAACAAACAAACAAACAAATGTAAGGCTTGCTTGTAGTTCCAGAAGTGTTGGAGATAAGTGAGCCACCTAGCCTCCATAACAGTGCCTGGCCAGCATGCTCAGCTGCTGAGGGATGATGCCCAAGGTTATCCCCTGGCCTACACATACACATGATAAAAATCATCAACTCAGTAGAAAAATGGGCCTATGCTGTCTATGTGAATAGACCAAGTAAAGACATACATCCTTTATGTTCAGATAACCCAGTTTCTCCCATCTTAATAAGAGGAACATAAAATACGATATCACCTACAAGACTGGCCAGGATCGCCCAAATGCTAGAGTTATAGGCATGCATCACCAGGCCAAGCATGTGTTGTGGCTTCTGAAGACATGTTGCATGAATATTCATGAGATAGATGGCCTATTCATATGGGTAAGGTGACCATTTTCCCCCTTCCAAACCATGGTGAACCAGATCTCTTTTCTTGACTAATTCTTCTCATGATCCTCTTTTAAAAGAGAAGCAAATTCACCAAAAAAAAATGATATTATAAGAAAATCGAGGTTTCCTGAGGTCGTTGACCCTTTGTCATAATAGATGTGTGTGGCAATTTGGTTAGGTTCCCTAGTACTTAGTTTCTGCGTTTTGGGGGAAGAACCTAAGTGCAGCTTAAAAGATGGAGTAAACCGCTAAGGATCATTTCGAACACCAGGAGACACAGCTACCAAGAAACGGGTGTAATGTTTCATGGTTACGTTGCCCTCAGATCCTCGAGGAGTGGGAGTTGTGGAACAATAAGACCCAACTATGAGAGTCTGTGGTCAGAAATGGCTTGTCTGAGTCAGAGGTGAAGCAGGTTTTACAGTGAGGAAGCATGAGCTTTGACTTTAGAAAAGAAGGCACATAACTGAGAGGTAGGTAGATAGGGTATTTTCCTTCCATTCAGTTTGTGATACCCACTTCCTTCCCAGCATCAATAATCTGTGAGAATCCCTCCCAGAACTCAGGAGCATTCTTTAGTCATGCCCCTAGTTAGCTAATATGATTGAAGAATGTGGAAACAGAGGGCAAGGTATGATGGGGAGGGACACAGATTCTTGTTTTCTTGGAGTGCCTCATCCCCTAATTTATTCAACCACTCAGAAACTGAATCTCATCAGGATTTCTAGAACTCAGCCACCAGCAACTCTGCTTCCTCAAGAATAAGAGTTAGGGTGGACCAGTCCAAGTAGCCTACACTGAGATTTTCTATGGCTTTGCTTACCCGTTAGCATAAGCTTAGGTGTTGGCTAAAGGGGCTTGCTATTAATATCAAAAGTCACTCCTCTCTCTCTCCAAGCAGTTTAAGACTTCTGTATGCAGGAAGTGGGAGGGGAAGATCATATGTTTCTCATACCGGACTTGAGGGAGCTTGCGATTATAGATTTACTTGGAAAGAAGAGTTAAAAAATGGGACATGGTGTGTTTCAGGACATACAACAGGCTGCCTGCTGACAGAGGAAAGAGCAGGTGTTTTATTGGGTTCTTGGTGGGATCTAGAATATTAATCATGACAATGGTATTTTCCTCTCCTGGCTTAAGGGAATTTTCCCATTTAAGATGATAGAACAATAACCAATTTGTCCCTGGAGACATTTTAGCATTACCCTGTGCCTGGTGGGTCTTGTGATAAGATAAAGGGAAACCAAGATAGGTCATACAGTATATAAATGGGTTCTATACATTGTATAAATAGGTTCCATACATTGTATAGACAGGTTCTATACATTGTGTAGACAGGTTCCATACATTATGTACAGAGGTTCCATACATTGTATAGACTAGTTCCACACATTGTGTAGATAGGTTCTATGCATTGTATAGATAGGTTCCATACAAGCAGAATGAAAACATATAGATTAAGAATGTGAAAGTCCACCTCTGCTGTCTCCATGAGTTAAATATACTGGACATATATATGTCAAAGTCTTGTAGGCTGTGTAGACAGTGCTGTTTTTAGTAGGTGAAACCCAGCTAGAGCAGAAACAACTCAGCAGAGGAGGAAGACAGAGGAGGAGGAAGCCATGTGGGAGGCAGTGAGAGGAACAGATTTGGAAATCTGAACGATGGTGGCAAGGGTGATGACAAGAAGCCGGTAAGGCCTAATGTTCTAGAAAGTACCCGTCTCCTGCTATCCTGTGGTCTCCTTGGTGTGCTCACTCTTATCTCCATGTCCTATTGCTTTTGTAGCATTTAGTTTCTTGGACCATCCTGGTCACCAAGACGTTTGCACAAGGGACTTTGAAAGTGATTGATTTGACAAAATATAAACTATGTTTTTGTTTCTACATTTTCATCAAAGCATCATATAGCCCAGAGATTCTCAACTTACGGCTCATGACCCCTTTGGAATCAAACCACTGGTTTACAAGGGTTACCTAAGACCATCTGCATATCAGATATTTACATTATGATTCATAACAGCAGCAAAATTATAGTTATGAAGTAGCAACAAAAATAGTTTTCTCATTGATGGTCACCCCACCATGAGGAACTATATGTTAAGGGGTCACAGCATGAGGAAGGTTGAGAACCACTGATCCAGCCTAAAGTACCGTGTAGAAATAGCCCCTCGCTTATGATCAAGGCTGCTATTTCTTTACCCTGAACATTGTTAATTAATGTGTTTGTTATCTTTGCCATTGCTGTGACAAAATGCCTGGTGACTTGAGGAATGAGTGATTTATTTTGACTTATGATTTGAGACAATACAACCCATCATGTGGGGTGCGTGGTGGAGTCCATAGCAGCTTAAGTATGTGTCTAGGATTCCTCGTTCCAGCAGACTAGAACACGCAGAAGGGAATGCCAATACTTCTGTGGCTGTCTCCTTTCCCCTCATTTATTCAATCCAGGCCCCCGGGTTATGGGACGATGCCACTCATGTTGAAGGTGGGTCTCTCCTCACTCAAGCCTTTCTGGAAGTGCCTCCCACATACAAAGGTATTTCTCCTAGGTGATTCTAGATCCAGCCAGGTTGACAATGAAGATTAACGATGCCCTGACACCAATCCAAAGGGCAGGACCGAGAAAGAACAGGATTTGCAGAGTGGTTTGTGTTTAGGGTTTATTGTCTGTGAGGATGAGTTGCACAGGTTCTGGTGTGATGCTGAACACAGTGTGTACACTAGAAATGGTGCTGTATTTCTGAACCATTCTTCCCTGCCTCCCTCACCTCTTACCTCCCCATCATGTCCATGGCTCTCATCTCCTGCCACAAGCCTGAGACCATGGAATGGAAAATTACTTAAAATTTCCTGATGTGAGAATATCACAGTGGTCCAGCCCAGACTGCTTTAAAAATGAAGTGATTTAAATATTTAACTCTTTTCATATACAGAATTATAACAGTTTCCAATTTTGTTTTCTGCCACTTTATCAGTGTTGATCCACTTTGCTATATATCTTGAAAATGTTTTCCATTATTGTTTCTTTTATATATAAGAAATTGAATATGAAGCTAGGAATAGTGAGGCACACCTCTAATAAAGGCACTAAAGCAGGGGCTTGCAAGGCCAAGGCCATCTTGAGCACTGTTACAAACTCAGGGCCATGTGAATACATTCATATTCTTAAAGTTATCCTATTAAAATCTAAAGATTACTCATCTGTGTTCTCTTCATAATCTTCTTAAAACACAAGGCACTGGTAGAGGGTTATTGTTAACATTTCTTTAGGGGCAGTCAGCCCCTCGCTCTCCTTTATGTTTGAGCCAGGGTATAAATCTTCCTTCAAGTCACCTAATTCAGGTCTACCATGAAGCTTCCTTGGCGAGAAGCATAACTTGCAGTAAGTAAATTCTAAGAAATTTCATGATGCCATTTCTCTATCTATCTATCTATCTATCTATCTATCTATCTTAGTTATTTTAATCACTATGATAAAACTACTCAGAAAAAAAGCAATGTAAGGGGAAGAGGTTTATCTCAGCTCACAGTTGAAGGTTACACTCCATCATGGCAGAGAAGTCACAGTGACAGGAACAAGAGGTAGCTGACCACACTTTGTCCACAATCAGACACAAAGAACCATGAATGTGTGCTCAATCCCCTCTCTCTTTTTCATTCAACCCAGGACCCAGCTCATGAAACAGTGCTACTCACATTTAGGTTATGTCTTCCCACCTTAACCATTCCAGTCAAGAAAATCCTCCATAGTTGTGCCCACATGCCAGACCAGTCCAGACATTGAGACTTCCCAG